AAAACCCCCCGCGGGGCCGCCGGCCCCCCCCCTGCCTCCCGCAGGGCTGCCAGCGGGGGAGCAGCGGCTGCTTCCGAGCAAGTTGGACAGTCAGATTAAAAACGAGCTCGCCACAGCGGCGTATTAAAAAATAGAGCGTTTATAAGTAAATCAAGGCAGAGACAGAACAGAGTAGACCGAACAGTCTGCAGTTTCACAGGGGACATAAAATTTGATATTTTTTCCAATCGTAAACGTACAATCTGGAGGTTAAGAGTGAGAACTCCTCTGCCCCAAGGCGAGGGAGAGGAACGCCTCCGCGGCCGGAGGAGCGGGTGCGCCAGGAGGCAGGTCACCTTACACCGTCCACGCGTACCGTATCACTAAACACAGGGCGCTTTCTCGGGCGTAACTGGCTGGTTGCTTGGTTTGGGTTTTTTTCCTCCAATAAAATCTGTAAAGGGAGAAATTTAAAAACAGAAAAAAAAAAGGCGGAGGAAGAAGAAAGCAGGCAGCTCCCTACGCTCCCTCTCTCACTGGGATCGGCTTAGTTGTTCACCTCTTCAGCAAGTATGGGTAGTATCAAAGGTTAGAAAGAGTGGATATAGACTAGCTTTTACTCCTGATTTTATTTTTCTGCTTTCTTTTTTAAGTAGTCTGAAGTGGCTGAGAGAATCCTCCCTCGTTGGCAAAGTCAATAGGAGCTGGTTGTAGTCAGTGGGAAGTCCGGACTGTTTGTCGTTTGGTCGTAAGAGACAAACAGCGCTAGATTATTTCGCTTCTGTTTTGGGGGGAAAAGGGGCGAGTGTGTGTGAAGTGGGTGCTACATGGAGGGAGCGGGAGCTGCTCAGTCGCCAGCCTCGTTCTCTTCCGCCGTCTCTCCCGTGGTGGCGTTCTCTGCGTTCTTGGAGGCCTGCGGACACAAAGCCACGGCGGCGGTGAGAACGGGGCCTCGTGCGGCCGCGACACCGGCGGCAGGCGCCACGCAGCCCGCCCGAGGGGCCGTGGGGAGGGGGGCCCCTTCCCACGAGGCGGCTGCTGCCCCGCCCGGAGAAAAACGCCGG